CTTATACATCTGTTTGAAGGATGAATAAGGAAGACTTTTGATTGATTTGGGTATTGTTTCCCAGATTTTAGAAATACTAAAATTAAATGTAAATTTACCATAATTTGTTCTTACTTGTTTTTTATAGAAATTATTATTAGATGAAATATATCTGACACGGGTATTATAGATTCACTGAAGATATCAGATATTCCGGAAGGATTGCTCAAAAGTTTATGAGTAAATAATGTCTGTCTTATCTAGTATATATTTTCAATATAAAGGATGCCTAACAGCTTAAAGTATGATTTCGGATCATCGCTTCTCTTGAGAAAGAAAATGCATCTCATACATTTCCTTAGTTGAGAAGACAGTTTGTCAGTATTACTTTTATAAGTACCTCCCCAGCTCATGATCCCATAGTYGACATAAGGATATATTRATGCATAATAGAGGTTTGTGAGCATCTTAATGCTCAGGTATCTACGCAATCTATATAAGATTCCTATATTTTTAGCTATTTTARTACTAACATATGACAAATGGTTTTTCCAGTTCATAAATTCATCAATATATACACCTAAGTACTTAATGCAACTTTTTTGCTTGATGTTAGGAATAGTTAAATGGGCATGTTTCCGCTGAGGAGTTGTTATTAACATATAGTTTGTTTTATCAAAGTTAATTGTCAGTTTGTTGGCACTGCAATATTTATATATCTTCGGAAGTTCATTATTAACTACATATTGAAGGTCGGCTAGATTCTTAGAAAAATAAAATATATTAGTATCGTCAGCGAAGATTCTGAACCTTAAAATATTTGATGAGTCAGGCAAATCATTTATATAAAGAAGGAATAGTAAGGGTCCTAGCGTAGATCCTTGTGGCACACCACATTTCATGAAGAGATGGTTTGATTTTTCATTACCAATTTGCACAAATTGTGYTCTATTAGATAAGTAGCTACGGAACCACTGTAGAGGGAGGCCTCGTATACCATATTTCYCTAGCTTTTTTAATAAAATACTGTGATTTACTGTGTCGAATGCTTTCGAGAAATCAAGAAAAATTCCGCAAGTAAATTGCTTATTGTCGATGGCAGTTCTTACATAGTCGCTAAGTTCAAGAATGGCATGTTCAGTGACTTGCCAAAAATTCAAAATATTTTTTCCCCCGATTTTTAATTCGTACTATGATTTTACTTTGATTTTGAGTTCGATTTTTTAGTTTGCTTATTTTGACCGTTTATATCTCACTTTCCGAAAATTGCGCATGCGCCAAAATATGGATTATGCCAGAGCCCTCGTTCTTCGCCGCAGGCCAGAAGAAATGCAGGCTCTGGGTACGAGATTCGGTAAGAGTGGTTTATCGTAGTTTCAATCAATCAATCAATTTTTTCCTCGCTTTTCTTCCTTGATTTCACGGTACTAATGGGGGAAAATCTTGTTATCAAAGTATATTAAAGTATTAGAAAATAAGACCTTATTTGATTTTACTCTAACGTTTGCGTTAATTATACGTCTACGTATCCCACATGGTAAAGAGTTAGCACGAGGGCCTAGTCATCTGCGGACACAAATCACTAAGCAGGTCTGCTGGTCATAGCAAGAGGTTAATCATTTACGGTCTAGGGGCCGACTAACCCCTCCCTTAGGCTTCGGCCGAGCTTCCTGATCGCTGTAATTCCTCCCGGGATAGCGGTGTTGGGGTCGAAATCTCCAGCGTAGCCGTAAGTCCATACGACGGTTCAGCATTCGATGTCTGGAAGTATGGTCCTGGTTAAATATTAATAAAAATAAATAAATCTAATCTACATTCCAGTTGAAGTTTTGAACAAATCAAAGCAGAAAATATAATAGTGACAATTGATAGAGTCATTGTCGAGTGAAAAGATTAAACCTCAGTGAAGGGGCGTCGGCTTGCTCGAGAGCTAAGCCATGGACATTAATGTTCTTGCCCTGATTTATCATGGTGTCACATGAAAACAATCTTTTGTTTTAACGCTATGAATTATGGTCGTGAAATTAATATAGACAAAAATGCAACAAAAACAAAAAACGTACTGGATGAGTACATGTGTCTACTGCTGATAGATACACAGCAACATTTTTGAATCATGTATATGTAGAATATTCACTTGCAGGTATTCAGGGCTTAATATTCTGCTTACGGAGCTCAATTATCCCTTTAAAGAGCTCAAATATTGTCACTGTAAAAATCTGAGTCAGTTTCACATCGCTTCGGTTCTGTCAAATCGTTCATGAAGCGATATTGTTGACATGCTTAGTGTAGCACAAACACCCCAATTCTGTGGTCGTTTTTTTTTTTTTTGCGATAGATTCTTTCAAGATATTGCAAATACCTGAAAGCACTTTAATTAAACAACACTTGACACATTCGATGAAACCTGTGTGCCTAGCTTGTTCCAAAAAAAACAAAAAAAACAGATAAAATTCACTACAAAAATGGCTGCCATTAAATTGTAGAAATCACTGAATCCTACCAAATCATGTTTGAAACGTTGGTCAAACGTTTACCAGTCGATAAAAGGTCGTAAGCAGTCGCAAACAGATCATCCAAGTTAACCAGCCAGTACGCGGGACTTCGGATAACATCGGCTATCCTCGCCATGCCCCGCTAGCTGTGCACGTGGGATCCGAAAGGGATCCGAAGTTTCACACCCCTTACACCGGGATGAAC